TTAATACTAGGCAGAGAAATTCCTTTGTGATAAGAACAAATTAATATTGTAAATTACATTATAGCTAAATTTATTTGTATTATTAACCTACAGTGTGCTCAGGGTATATTGTTTGGAAGGAGTCCCAGGGGTGGCTTGAATTAAGTCAACAATTATAAATTAGTAGTCAACAAGTTATATATATCGAACGATATCGAAAGTATCTGATTAACCAAGAATTCTATCGAGGAACAATTGACCGCAAGGGACAGTCGGAAAGCAAGACACACGCTCGTCCTGGACTGTAAGAGGGACACTGCAATTTGGACAATAAGGAGCAGGGTGGCGCTCCATTAAGTGACCATGAGTTATCAAGTATGGCCAATACGCAAACTTACCAGAGCCGTTTCTCACCGCCGATTACGGTGGCAGGAGGAAGGCTACGGGGACACACTATGCTTAAGAGTACGCAGCTTGTTACCAACAACCCTGCCAATGGGCAAGGATGGAGGAATGAATAACCGGGTAAAAGTCGGAATAAGGAATACCTTTATGGGAAACGGGACAAGAGCAGATAGCCTCTCTAGAGGCAGCATCCACACGCTCATTTAAAGAAAGACCTATATGGCTGGGAACCCAGCAAAACTACAGATTTAAATTTACTAGGGATAAGAAACAGCCAATGTTGAATCTCGACGACTACCGGATGGACAGGATTAAAGGACCCGAGAGCCATGAGGGCACTGCAAGAGTCAACGACAACCACAAAGGAGGATTGACAATGAGAAAGCAGGAGACGAAGAGCATAGAGAATAGCATAAAGTTCCGCAGTGAAGATGCTAGTCTCCAAAGGGAGGCGACACACATAAGTGCGGCCAGGAAAAACAAGAGTAGTCCTCACCGTCCGCAGACTTAGACCCATCGGTGAAGATGGAAATGGAGCGTGAGTGTGATGAAAAGTACTCAAAGAAAAGGCATTTCAGAACCGTAGGAGGGGTAAAAGCTTTAGTAATGCGAGTCAAGGATGTACAAAACTTCAGAAGGGGGACCCTCCACGGGGGTAAGGAAGGAACAATATGAGGAGAAATATGAGAAAGACGAACTAAAAGAGTCATGTAAGCGAGACAACTGGACAGAAAGAGGGAGGTTGTGAAGAAGAACAGGAACTACAGGAAGGGTAAAAGTCAAAGCATGACAGAGACGAGAGGAAGGATGTTGCAAGGACCGCACAAGATTAGACACTAGCGATCACGGCGATCCTGGAGATAGAAAGCCAGTGTCAACATACAAGCTGAGGGCGGGAGTCGAACAAAGTTCGACGTTCGACGAAGAAGTAAGTTCCTGCAGTTACAGGGAAATGATCCAGGACTGATTAAATCCCCTTGCAAACATGGGAAACAATGGTCATCTGGAAAGTCAACCCGTTCTCGCAAATTTAATAAGTCAATATTGACTTATTAAATATGTGCATAGGTGACATACTTAACATAATAGTTTCCCTTGAAAAGCTTCATAGAAAACACCGACCTTACCTAACCTACTTAGTATGTTAAGATAAGCATCTTATTGCTTCGTAATTACAATTATTACCTAACCTATAATAGGTATAGGTTAAGTAATAATTGTAATTACGAAGCAATAAGATGCTTATCTTAAGATACTAACAAGGTTAGGTAAGGTCGGTGTTTTCTATGAATCTTTTTAAGGGTATCTATTATGTTTAGTATATCACCTATGCACGTAGTTAATAAGTCAATATTGACTTTACGAATTTGCGAGAACGGGTTGCAAAAGTTGACCAAGGAATGAAAGTACTGCATTAAGAAAGGAAAAACTGAGGATAAACAAAAGGCCCAGAAAGTTTCCAATAGAACCAGAAACAACAAGGATATCATCCAGAGCAGCGGTCGCCAACCTTTCGGAGCTTACAAAAATACAAATTTATAATTTTAAATCCTGCGGTCCATCAAACATGAAATGATAGTTATTAAAGTCAAACTATTTGATGCCATTAAATTTAACAGTTAAAGAAAATACACAGTTACATACAATACACATTATTTTCACCTGGAACCACCAGTGGTCGTTGGCAGCAGCTGATCCAGAGGATGATCGCTCTCCTGCATTACTATCAAACCAGCCACTTATTATACCATTAACTTTTTCACATGCACTACTTCCAACAACATCACAACATTTAACAAATCTCAAACTTTATACAAACTAGTCACTCTCCAATGTCCTCTCTTTAGTTCTGCACCAGCATATGCTTTCTCTAAGGTCATAATGACTATGTACATGTTGTAATGTCTTGCATAACTTCTCCATTAGCTTAGATGTCTTAACCCCTTGGACAGTGCAGTTCTGCCAACCCTGGTACACACTGTAAAGCACAGATCTTAGTGAAATTAAAAACATATTTAGTCATGAATTTATAAAATATAATAGCAAAATTCTAGGCTAAACCTTGGTAAACCTAAATGCTTGAGCCATGATAAGCTGAGAAAGAGGAATTTATCCCATGGAATTAAAACATACAATTTAAAATACTGTATAGTATAGAAAACAAGAATAAAATATTTTAATTAAGCTATAGTGGAAAATAAGACGATTATGAGAAAATTACATAAACATTATAAGTTGCCATATTTCAGGTGTGGTGAGATGGTAAAACGAGTTTTGCTTCTCACTGCAAAAGGCAAAACATCAAATGAAAACAATCTTCGTTCACAAATCTGTCAATATTGGTATATGGGGAACCAGCCCGTCCTCACATATAAAGATCCAAGCTCATTAATCCAGCCGTCAAACCCGCTGTTTATGAACGAAAAGCTGTTTACACACGACTCACAACTGATGATGTCCAAACACTTCCGGAACAAGTGCTTTGCTCATGTCCTCTGTTCGAACCACAGTTCTATAAATGCTTCACCCACGTACCAGTACTTCAAATACAAATAATCGCCCACAGAACCTCAACACCTAATCTAACCTATGCCTATCTATACACAGAATTATGTATAATAATATTAATTTATATAAGAGAACAAACCAGTTTTTAATATACAGTAGTGTATGTTCAAATTGATGAACGGCCGCTGCTTAAGACAGCCTAGTGTCAGGACGGGTTCGGGGAACAGAAGAAAAATACAAAAATCTAGTTAACATAGCTTGTGTGTAGGAAGATGACCTTAATGACGGTTCACACAAGGCAACCCTCGCCCCTCCCCAATAAAAAATATTTTGTGTGTGTAAATGATAACAATTATAGAACAAATATATACTTACCATAGCACCAAGTGTGATGGATGGTGTTTGATGAGCATGCGGTGTCTGCAGTAAGATATCACCACAGTTGGCCCAGGAGGGAAGAGCAGAGCATTGCACATGGCATTGACAGCTATAAGAATACAACATTTATATATACTGTTTAGTTACAGCATGTTTTAGATCAAGATTTTTTTAATATTCATTATCAAACTGTATTATCTATAATTATATAAATTCAAGTTCACTAAATTTCTAATTATAGACAATATTTATTAAAAAATGGAATACAAAGAGGCAGTGGACACTCATGACAGAGTGGCGACACTTGCACGTCTCCTCCTGCCGTTGTATGCATTCACACACAACACTCAAGTTGATCAACTTTCCTATGGCCAGCAAGTTGTTGACTTTCCATGTAACAATGAGTCTGAAGCACTTTCTAAATTTTTCATTGATGTATGTTAACACATCTCTTATTTTCCACATTCTATAATTTGCATCTGCAATATGATTATCAGCTAAATAGAGGAATTTCGACAACAAGAGAGATCCGTCTCTACATGTATTTTGCAAATAATGCATTCAGGTTTCAATTAGTTATTTTCACAACAATTGTTCGTGATGTGCTTCTGTGTGACTCGGCATCAGAGCAAGGAGAGAACACGTCATGTATTGCATTGTCTTTCCACCATTGAACATATGACACTTGAGATTATTACCTTTTTTATATAAAATTTTACATATTTATTTATGTCTTGCACAACCAGTTCCATAAATTCATCATCAGTGAGCACCTCAAAATAAATATCTTTGGCATTCTCAAAATCCATAAAATTGTCAGTCTTTAATGCATCAGTCAAATAATTTGAGCAAAATCTTCACCAGATGTCCAGATAAAGACGGTCACAACAGCATCACCTGTTGTTGCACGGTACCTTACAAAGTCAGGTTGGGACAGAATCAATAGGTGGCTAGCCACATGACATTGGAGAAGTGATATGAACACTTGCCGAGGCAGCAGAAATACCGACATCGTTTTATTACCCGTTTCTATTCCACAAGTATGCCAAACACACCAGTGTGATCCAGGACCAACTGATTGCACACATTTTTCTGGCCAAGAACCACAAGGTGAGAATTAAGCCACTAACAGCCACGTCAAATGGTGAATGGAAATAAAGTACTCTTCCACAGATTTATCTGCTCGTATTCAATTTTGCAATCTTCTCACACTAGTTAAACCAATCGTTTTCACATACGCACTCCCTTCATTGCAGTTACCCTTGACAAACATCCTGCTTTTCAAAGTAGCTTCTTGTTTTAATAATTCTGTTTATAGTTTTCTTATAATTTATTCTCAATCCTATTGCTTTACTAACCTATTTACGTAGCTTTCACTTGTCAAGTTTTTGCTCTTCCTCTTCACTTTAAATCTACAAAATCTTTCATCCACTTCCTCATCCTTCTAAAGCATTTCTTCCGATTCTTCTACCATATTTTATAGAATATCCATAGCATTAGGGCAGTTTTTTTTTTTTATTAAAACATCCAAAGGGGTATATGAATGCAGAACTCGGATATCTGCCAGTGAACTGCCTAAATCCCTCTGTCATGATGTAAGAAAGCATTTCTCACTTCCAATGTAACTGCTCAGGGCTGAAAGTAACTGAAGAATCAAAACTCACCTAAGCAGAGTACCCTTTTTCCAGCAATGTAACTACTTCTAATTATGATTAAATAAAATCAGTTAGTAATGGAGGTTCAACTGTATTTGTATATATAAAATATAAATATACACAATATTTACAAAACGATCATCACAAAGCAATTTTTCTTTTTCCACGTCGCTCCACTCTGTACACTGCCAACCACTTGTGAATCTTAAATTTTTGCTTCTAAATTTAAGTTGCTAATTAGGGTCACTGAAAATTCAGACAATAAAACCCATAGCAGGAGAGAAAACATTCACAAACGATTCCCAAGATTAATTAGGCCTAGACAATTTCTAAGAATCCAGGCAAAATTATAAATACATGTGAAAATATAAATTATCAAGTCTTTAAATTAAAATGGTACAATTTATAATACAATTGGTATAAATAAATATAAAGATTTATGAAGGGGTTAAAACAGCTTACTTAACTGCTGAAGAATAAGAATCTTTCAGTCGAGGTTCGAACTTTCCAACCTGTCTGAATAACCAAAATGGCCCATTTTTAAGATATATCTCTTAATCAACCAAGAATACAAATGGCAAGCCAAGTTATGACAGTAAAATTTAGTAAAACAAATTACTCAAATTATCACACATTCAAACTCTACTCATCAGGTACGTAATTTACCACATTTCTTTGTATAGTTAATGTTCTTATTCCCATTTGTGGTTTTTTTATTTTTACAAAGAACTGGGTTTTCAAGTTTCCAGCTAATTCAATCCTTCTGATCAAACCATTTCCTGTTTTACATACCCTTGAAAGTTTGTCACAATGTTCAATTATATATAAAAATCTATCATTAAACAATTACATTTCCAGCAAGACCATTAAACAATTTGCCATTCACATCTAAACAATTCAACAATTTGCCGAGAAAAAATACTAGCGACTACTAACTTTCTTTTTTAGTAAATTCCTCCCCATTATATCACAAAATAATGTGCACTCGACACATTAATTTCTTAAGATATTGTACTGTTTCATCATCATTTATGCCAATCCCCACAATCAAAGCAGGGCAGCACTTTTTACTCTTTTATACTAATTAAAATATGAAATGACCAGATCTATCTACTGTGGCCGTTGACCCGGACACTGGGGCGTGTAACTGTCCCTTTCTCTGCACTCGTCATGGAGTCCAGAAACTGCGACAACAGTTTCACCAGCGAGTGGCGCTTGAACCTACTGGCCTCATCCACTACATCTTTCACCATATTCAGTCTGGATTCATAGGAGCCCTGCACTGTGTTCAGCTGATCAAAAAGTCTTCTGAAGTCTGAAAAAATAAAAAAATCTTAATACCTGTATACAGTATAAAAATTAGCATTTAATACAAGTTGGAATGGTATCTAAATGGTACATTTTAAAAGTTATTCCCCCCCTCTATTGTTACATTCCATGATATTACAATAAAATATTTTCTCTCATACTTTCCACACAATATTGAACATTGCACACGTGTGATGTTCATTGAATATCTCTCAATACGCTTGTTGATGGGGATCTCTCTCAATGCGCTTGTTGATGGGGATCTCTCTCAATGCGCTTGGTGATGGGGATCTCTCTCAATGCGCTTGGTGATGGGGATCTCTCTCAATGCGCTTGGTGATGGGGATCTCTCTCAATGCGCTTGTTGATGGGGATCTCTCTCAATGCGCTTGTTGATGGGGATATCTCTCAATACGCTTGTTGATGGGGATCTCTCTCAATGCGCTTGTTGATGGGGATCTCTCTCAATGCGCTTGGTGATGGGGATCTCTCTCAATGCGCTTGGTGATGGGGATCTCTCTCAATGCGCTTGTTGATGGGGATCTCTCTCAATGCGCTTGTTGATGGGGATCTCTCTCAATGCGCTTGTTGATGGGGATCTCTCTCAATGCGCTTGTTGATGGGGATCTCTCTCAATGCGCTTGTTGATGGGGATCTCTCTCAATGCGCTTGTTGATGGGGATCTCTCTCAATGCGCTTGTTGATGGGGATCTCTCTCAATGCGCTTGTTGATGGGGATCTCTCTCAATGCGCTTGTTGATGGGGATCTCTCTCAATGCGCTTGTTGATGGGGATCTCTCTCAATGCGCTTGTTGATGGGGATCTCTCTCAATGCGCTTGGTGATGGGGATCTCTCTCAATGCGCTTGGTGATGGGGATCTCTCTCAATGCGCTTGTTGATGGGGATCTCTCTCAATGCGCTTGTTGATGGGGATCTCTCTCAATGCGCTTGTTGATGGGGATCTCTCTCAATGCGCTTGTTGATGGGGATCTCTCTCAATGCGCTTGTTGATGGGGATCTCTCTCAATGCGCTTGTTGATGGGGATCTCTCTCAATGCGCTTGTTGATGGGGATCTCTCTCAATGCGCTTGTTGATGGGGATCTCTCTCAATGCGCTTGTTGATGGGGATCTCTCTCAATACGCTTGTTGATGCTCTCAATACATGCATGACTCAATACATGTACAGTATGTCTACATGAATAGTGTTATATGAGCGTTGCAGATTATCCTAAGCTACTGGGAAGACGACGACCTAGTTAGCCAAAATAACTGTATGCAGCAACATATGGCAAAGAGAATTCAACACGAACAAGTTTCAAGTAAAGTAATGTGGAATAAGTTTAACCACTCCATCTTCCGAGGGCCACATGAAGGTCTTAAGAAAAGCCTTTGCTACCCTGGCCAATTTCAGAATTACATTTAAATCCATGGATGGGGAAGTGCTCAAAATGTTTTTGTCATGTACATGAGACCTAAACTAGAATATGTAGCCACTGTACTGTGTTCATCTCAAAACACACATCAGTGAGTAATAAAGATAAAGACATGTTATTAAATAGCTCCTGAAACTAAAACACAAGAGCTATGAAGCGAGATTGCAGGCATTACGTGTGTCAAAGACTAGTAGACAAGAAAAAACAAGTGTGTCATGATAAAACAATATTTTAACAGGAATTGACAAAGTATAAGGGATTACTAAAATTTGCAACACTGAGAACAAGAGTTCATAAAATCAAGTTAAAAAATCAAAGGGGTCAAAAAAATGCCCACAAATACTCTTATGCAGCAATACACTAATAGAATAATTCAAGAGGGTAGTACGGTATATGCAAGACTCGTCAAAACTCATCAAAACAAGACTAGCCCGGCCTGAGGCCAGGCTAGAGGGGCTGATCCCAAACCTGCACACACAAATAACATCACTGGAGACCAAAAGGCATGGCAGGATGTGCAGAATATCCCTGTTGAAGAGCAGAGATGCAATAGGTGCTCAGAGAGAACTATCAACATCAGAGGCCTGAGACTGTTCAACACGCTTTCACTACATTTAAGGGGCATAACTGGCCGACCCCTCACAGTGTTCAAGAGAGAACTTGAGAAGCACCACTATACCTGATCAACCAGGCTGTGACTCATACATTAGGCTGCGAGCAGCCACATCCAACAGCCTGGTTGATCAGTCCGGCAATGAGGAGGCTTGGTCGACGACCGGGTTGCGGGGACACTAAGCCCCGAAATCAAGGTAACCTCAAGGTAATATGTTATTTCTAATATTAGAAAATATATTAGACATACAATACTGTATGCATGCAGGTGGCAACAACGAAGTCCATTTTTTAACAACTACTGTACATAAATGTGCCAAACCTACAGAAGTCAATTTTTCATAATTTTTAAACAAAATAATATTAATTCATGCATTAGTTTTGTTGTGCGTAATTAGGGATAACTGCCGCTTAAACATGTCCAAAGACTTCACATCATCATCATTACCCTATTTCCCATTTTCAGTGATGAGGCACGAGTCTGGATAAGGAGAGATAAAAGTAACAATTATGTGGTGACAATGGATAACGAGGGACAGTGAGAATCGCTGCAGACAGAGATACGTAATAAATATATTAACTAATGCTACATTTACATCCTTACCTCTGCCAGGCTTTTTAACCAATTTGAAGCAAGTAATTTTCAATTCTTTATTATAGGTCTTGGTAGCTTGTGTATCTGCTGGAATATTTGGGCTAGAACCTCTTCTAGGCTCGCTATTATTTACAATTCCATTCTTCTCTGGTTCATCATCAAATGCTATTTCAAGTGGTGGAGAATGACTTGGTGAGGGTGGTAAATCATTATAGTCTACATCATAGAGTTCCAAGGGGCTTTGATTAACCTCCTCATCTCGCACTGAAGGTGGTGGTGGGGTCACATCTAGAATAATTAATGCTTCAGTTAACAAATGAAGACAATGCCAGAAATATAGACTTCATTCTACCACACAAACTTGGCATGCTATCATTTCACAATCATGAGAAAATTAACGAGCATTTTAAACAAAAACTAGACGTGTTTCAATCATGAGAGGGAGGAGATAAGCTCAAGCAAGCATCTCTCTTGATACAGAGGCTGAAGTAGTGAGGGTGGGGGGGGGGGGCGATGTGACGAGTAGAGGGGGGGTATAATGAGTACATGGAAGAGAGGAGGGGGAGAGGGTGAGGAAGAGTGTAAGGAGTACAAGCTGATGGAGTAGGAGGACAAGTAAACACCACCACCACCACATCCTGCTGTCAGTCATGTACTGTTGTACCTACACTATTGTGCTTTCAAGGCCAAACATTTACACCTATACTAATCATTCTATCTCTCGAATATAAATGTTGGTATAATACTTGCTTAAAAGGACTTCTTTACTATCAAAAATACCTGAAAAATTAAACTTTAATTACACCAAATTAGTGATGAAAAAACAAAATAGCCAAACCATGTAACTTATCTCAACTGTGCCTTATCTCTGACAAATATTTAGAAAAAATATAGAATTGTTTTTACTAAAAATATAAAAATTTATATATAAAAAGTTCATTAATTTTACAAATTAAATGCCTTTCTGAGCCTTTCATTAGGTGATAATGATCGTGGTTGTGGTGACTGCATGATTGATTAGATACACCAGCTAGATCTTGCGATGAAGAGAACATGCATTACCATTGTTGTAAATAAGGAATAGGTTAATTATTAAATGTAAAATTAGCCACAAGTCTTTCTTTCAGACTTATTCTTTTAAGAAATGGTCCCTAGTGGCCTACTGTTGGTACACATCAAATAAAAATATTGATGGAGACCTTAACATCTCTACCTATACAGGAAGACTGCATGACCTAGGGAGCCCACAATCAAAGTGATAGCTAGCTTAGGTGGTTCCACAGTGGAGCCCTATCTCACAAAGTTGTTACATAGGGTTACATGCAGCTGCCCTCGCTTCCATTTCATTCTTGATAGCCTCTGCAGACTGTTTGCCATATGCAAGTTAAGGAGCAGCAGTAGCAGAGGTTATGGAAGGAAAGTATAATCTTGCACCTTATTCCCAACACTAAAATTCTTATCTATTTCTCAAATCTACATCACCTGATCTTTAACCTCTGTCCTTGGTCACTTGACCATAGCTACATTTCACTTCAGATTTACATCCAGTTCTTAATCTACTGGATTATATTTGCTCATTCAAGCACCCTACTAAACTTAGCACTAATGACCTCCAGCCGAGCTTTAAGTTGTAAGTATTTGTGCACACAGTTGTGTATGTCTAAATGTGTGTTGTATAAGCAGGAGTTACTAAAGTCTTATTTAAATTTGGGTGTGTGCACGTGTCACTGGTCCTGTATAGATCTTGGACGACTTTGCCATGTGATATACATTAATGATTACTATTACTGTGTGCAAATACAAGATATATTCAATGTGTTGTTTGAAAGTGGCCAGAGTAATAAATGTTAAATGGTTCAGGTTTATGTATACAGTATTGCCTTATTGAGAGAGAGAGAGAGAGAGTGGAATTTGGACATCTCTGAAACATAACCCTATTTTTGCATTAACCTTCAAGATTAATGCACATAATAATGCCTTTACACAGGGCTTACAGAAACACAGCCTCCTGCACTAATTAAGGGCTGCCTGTATTCTAGCAAGAATGGTGTAAATGAATGAAATGCAGCTGACCAAAAAATCACAATAGCTATAGCCAGTTTTTATAAATTGATATCACTTGTGTTTTATAAGCAATCACACTCACTCATATAATATACTGTACTGTATATATTTTATAAAAGAACATTGCACAACTTAATTGACTTACCTCCATTAAGCATTGGATGAATATCAAGAGGCAGTGAATGGTTTCTTTCTTCTTGTGGGGAGAGCGCAGCTGGTGAACCCGGAGGGGAAACACTTAAAATACCCGGAGAATACCCTGGAGTTGGTGTTGAGGAATAAGTTGCAGGCTGGAACACTGGTGGAGTATCTGGCCGCTCCAGTCTAGATATATCTTGTCTGGCATCAGCTTGCTCTTCAACTCTCGGAGTTACTGGGGAGTCAGGTGGACTAGGGCTTACTCCAGGACTGGTGACTGGGGTAGGGGAAGGACTTGGACTAGAACTTGGGCTGGGACAGGGACTGGTATTAGGACTTGAACTAGGACTTAGGCTAGGACTCTTGTTAATTCTTTGTATGGTGAAGTCCAGAGGTAGAGGGCCACGTCTTCGTTTGTTTGGTCGACCTACTGTAGACTGTGTCTCAGCTGGCCGCTTTGAGCCGCGACCACCCGTACCAGCTCCTCCACTTGTGCTCATAAGATCGACATCTGCCTCATCAACCATCATTGACATCTTCTGTAGGTGGACAGGAATTGGAGGGTAAAAGAAAAACTACACGTATAAATCTGTATATTATTTTTACAAAATAAAAAATACATAAATAAAAATACTTAAATAAAAATATATAAATACAAATATTTACTCAAATAAAAATAAATAAATAAATATATAAAGTACACAAAATTTAAGGCCTTGCCAATGTTTTTGGTTTAAATTAACTATTTTATCTTGTACTGTAAATGCAACTTATTCAAGTACAAATTTTATTCCAATTCTTGCTTACATTGTGACAATGTAAAAGTTGTGTATATAAAAAAACTTGAACATGGTTATCCAAGTCTGCAAAAAAAAAAAAAAAAAAAAAAATGATAAGGCTGAGTCAATATGAAAAACTGCATCTTGAGCTTCATCATTCAGTTGTTAATCTACCTACATATTATGGCACCTACCATAGAATAAGAAAATGGCTACTAAGCAGCAGATGGCAGCGAAGTGCATGACAGTATAACGCATCGGAGAGCAATAAAAATGTCTTAAGGAAGCATTCTCAATCAGCATATGGAAACTAAGTAGGTAAACAAGCACACAAATGAGATTTCTTAAACCAACAATGAAACTACTGTATACACTGTATCAAGAAAACAGGAAGACTCCAACCTGTTAAACCTAGGTGAATAAAGCAATGAAAGAAAGGACCATAACTGACCTATATGACTCGACCATGAACACCAAGTCTCGGAAACAACCAAACAAGGGAAAACATTACAGATGCCACAGAGTAGAGATATAGGAGATGAAAAGCCTGACTATGCACACATTTACCTGTAGTAGTTGTTGTCGATTTAGATTCAGCTGCATTGGAACAAAAGTTCCAAGCAGCACGGGCTATGGTGAGCCCGTAGTGGACTGTTACCTGTAGTCGGTTTCAAATATTCCTCTACTCTCCAAGCTCAATGTACAATAAACAGTTTCGGGTAAAACAGCAAGTTAACTCCACTGAAAACTGGTCCCTGTCTGCCAACCACACACACACTTGACAACATTCTGAGTATAAGAGCTGGTTTGGGTTAGTGAACCTGGGTTTAGCATCATGCTGCAACCTTGTGGCAGATAGCATGATTGGCCAGAGCTCAGCTGGTAGTTAGCAAGTGCTCTTGTATGGTGACTAACAACTGTTGTCAAGAAAGAGCTTGGAAAGGCCTTAATTTATATGGATCAATATGCAGATGTGGAGTCACAATAAATGGATCATTTATTGATCCACAATACACGGATCATTTATTGATCCACAATAAACGGATCAAGCCGGCTATATGGATCAACCTCTGATGGCCATTTCCAGGCTGGAATAATTAATTTCTCCAATGACTCCCTCAGCACAAAGTGACATTCAAGGATAATAGAAATTACCCTGTGGCACCGTACTGTGCGCGCTTCACTTATCTGAATGCATGATCTAATGATCATGAACATAATGGGAAGCAGCCAAATTCAAAAGATCAGGAAAGTTGCTGCGTATACTTCTCTAGAGTATTTACAAGCGACTACCCTTCTCATCTGACAAAAAATAGGTTAAATTGGAAAAGATTTCAAGCTAGCGGTAAAATGTGTTGAAGGAATTAAGCAAATAAAGTGTGTGCTGCTTTCGTAGCTCAGTCGATTAAGGCAGTGTCTGGGATGCTCCCGGACGCAGGTTCAAATCCTCGTCACGGCCCTTGTGGATTTGTTCATTTAAAGTGTGTGCTGTGCCTCTGGTAATACTTTAACCATACAAACCCTGCCCACAGGTTCATGGACTAGGCATCAGATTGTTTTAAGTTACCAATCCATTTGGTCAGGTGCAGTCACTATTTCTGAACATAACTATATAAATATTTTTAAAATCTCAATTCAAAAGTGATTATCCATAAATTAACGTTAATTCACAATTAAATAATATACTGTAGTACTTACTCTACAGTATAAAAAATAACATCAACTGAACAAGGAAAATGATACAAACCTTGTCAATTTTGAATGGGTTTCCAAACATATGTTGTCTAACAGGAGTCGATTCTATTTCTCGCAATGGAGGAGTCATTTTCTTTAAATAATCCTGGAATAACAAATATTGGTGATTAATATAAACAAAACCATAGAACTTGCACAAAGTAAAGCATCTCTAACGTATGCCAGTATTCTGTAATACAATTGTCAATATTTTAAATTATACAAGTTATATCAAAATGTTAAACTAAGTACAGTATATAAAGGGAACATGTAAAAACACACAATCTATCCTTTTCCCAACCTTTAAAAAAATAAATAAATAAATTCCTTTAGGCAAAATGTTTTTTTAGTACAGTACTAAATGAAGGAAATCACACTAACCTGATAATTGCCCATTTGACTGATAGGGCGACAATGCAGTTGGTCAAGGTCTCTCTCCGTCAAGAGCAGTGCCAGGGATGACTGGGAGGGAGGAAAACAAATTCATTGCATACATTTCAAACAATAATTTCAAACAAGTTCAACCTAAGAAACTAGTTGTGAGGATGACAATGCAGGGAAAAAAAAAAAAAAAAAGATCATTCATAATGAGAATAATGTCTCATTACAGACCGGTGTTAAAACGTAGGAAAAACTTGCCGACCTGTTTACAAGGTTACCCTATAAGCCAACATTCCCTCCAGCTTGTCAAGACTTGCAAACAAAAAGTATATAAAGTTGCAATGGTAATTTTACACACTAATTGTTAAATCAAACTTAACTGTCGCCCAGCAGACCCTCCCTGCCCAGGTCGCCCATTTATATATACACATTTTATATATATATATGACATATAACAATTGTACATGAAATGTACATAATGTATCACTATACTGTTCTGGTAGATGTGATAATGAAATCCAAAGACAGCATAGTTGCTGTTGTTCATAAGAGGATAGATTGATATATATATATTATACACACACACACACATACATAAATATACACACACACACACAGTATATGATTTTTGCAGTAGAAGGGTTAAACTAGGACAATTATGAGAAAAACATGTGGAGAGAGACGAGGGTAATCACCACAATTAAGGGCAAAAGTTAAGGTATTACTGGATTCCAAGCACTCACTCACTCACCTGAAGGAAATTTGATCTCATGCGTGTCAGCTGATCAAGGAGACAGGTGCGAGGAATATCAAAAGGATTTCGGTACATTTGTGGACTAACTTCTCCTTCACGAACTGCTAATACAAAGCTAGGGTACTCTGTAACTAGGTCACGAAGGGGTGCCAGTTTATCTGCAGAGTTTAAATCACATTATTTTCATCAGTCAAAACTGAATTTTTCAAAATTATAATTCAATATCATTTAAATATACAACACATTAATGCACTTCAAACTATAGAAAACAACAATATAGTGAAAACGCCACTAACCGAGCGTTAGTGGCACAAAAGACCACTAACATGGTCTTTTGTCAAGATTGCAGATAATGCCAGGCCATGCTATGTAGAGCATTATACAATGGCACAAAGTTGAATCTTCCTCTTAATTCTCAAAATGTGATTATCATAAAAACTGTCACTTCCCCTTTCCTCTTTGCAAAAACAGTATAATAATACTTGCATGAAAAAATCAAGAGAAAAAATATGAATATCTACGTCTTTTCTGGTTACACGAGCTGTAGGAGGAAATCTTTTAACTGCCCTTGTAATCTAAAATATATTATTCACTACACTATCTTCATATCTAGTTTTGAATAAATAAATTAACTGAAAAGATTAAAAATCTTTATTAAAACATTTCCCACTTTAATGCTGATGCACTTGCTTGGAAATGACGGGGAAAATGAGGGTTCAAGACAAAGCCGAAACCCATCTTTAAAACTCAGATGCACGACAGAGAACCTGTACCACCACACTCGGTATATTGAGAACCTGTACCACCACACTCGGTATATTGAGAACCTGTACCACCACACTCGGTATATTGAGAACCTGTACCACCACACACTCGGTACATTGAGAACCTGTACCACCACACTCGGTATATTGAGAACCTGTACCACCAGACTCAGTACATTGAGAACCTGTACCACCACACTCGGTATATTGAGAACCTGTACCACCACACTCGGTACATTGAGAACCTGTACCACCACACTCGGTATATTGAGAACCTGTACCACCACACTCGGTACATTGAGAACCTGTACCACCACACACTCGGTACATTGAGAACCTGTACCACCACACTCGGTATATTGAGAACCTGTACCACCACACTCGGTACATTGAGAACCTGTACCACCACACTCGGTATATTGAGAACCTGTACCACCAGACTCGGTATATTGAGAACCTGTACCACCACACACTCGGTACATTGAGAACCTGTACCACCACACTCGGTATATTGAGAACCTGTACCACCACACTCGGTACATTGAGAACCTGTACCACCACACTCGGTACATTGAGAACCTGTACCACCACACTCGGTACATTGAGAACCTGTACCACCACACTCGGTATATTGAGAACCTGTACCACCACACTCGGTATATTGAGAACCTGTACCACCACACTCGGTATATTGAGAACCTGTACCACCACACTCGGTACATTCAAGAGTAAATAGACCATGCACAACTTACAAGTTATGTAGAAAGGAATTACAGAACTCTAATAAAGACCGAGACCAAGGGGTGGTTTTGGATAGCAAGCTGTCGTCAGAGGAACCCAAAGAACATTGTGAGAGGAGCGTATGCCTCGCTTTCCAACTTGCTATTAATTATATGGATGGTGAAATAATAAAGAAATTGTTTATAATTTTGAGAGACCGAAATTGGAATATACAGCAGTTGTATGGTGCCCAAATCTCAAGAACCACACAAACTGGAAAAGGTGCAGCAGCATGCTACAAAATGGCTTCCGGAACTGAAAAAGACAGCCACCACACTAAGCATAGTGCTGGAAAATCTCTCGAGCCAAAGCACACGACCTCTGCCTCGGGCATCAGCCTTAGAACTGACGGGTGGATAACCGGCGTGGGGGTCTGGGGCTCCCCCTTCCCCCTCCCAGGGAGGGGGAAGGGGGAGCCGACTGGCCAGTATACTGGCAAAAGTATACCAGAATCACAATGAAAGTTAACACTTGGTATAGAGCATTTTAGTAGTAATTATTTAAGGCTTCAAATGTGTGTGTCCTTGAACTCGCCTTGTAATGTGTGATTGGAGGTGAGGTGTCTGCTGAGTGGTCGCCGAGGCTGTACTCTAATCCCCTCGTGGACAACGCAACTACTTTGGGATAATCTCTTCTCAACCTGCCAATAAAATGTACCATTAATGTAAGAGTTAATTAAGTTGTAGGGTTATAAAAATGAAGACCAAGATTAAAACAGGAGTGAGTACATGTAACAAATTCAAGGATACTGTATTAATGATTGCCCAATACTTCAATTTTATACATATATTTGTTGTGACTGTGCGCTTATCTATCGGTGATTATGAGGGGGTGTTATCTAGTATTCTGGGATCTGCATCCTAGTTATGTGTACCCATGTTAATTTATTTTGCCAATCTATTTCTTTGTCATATTTTCTTCTGAAGCTGTGGATGGGAGGTGGCCAGTACTTTACGAGTGCATTCCACTTATTAATCAAACAATCTTGTGGTAAAGGTTTCATACAGTACTTTTTCCTGGCTCATTTGCATTTTAACCTTCTATGAAGGTAAAAATTCTTGTCCTATTTTTCTCAGTTTGAAGAGACTCTTCACTGCCATTGGCATCAAGCTGCAAAGAGTACCCTATAAATTGTCATCCACACTTCCGTAAAATAAACATTCCATTCACCTGGACTGTATGGGTCTCAAACCATGGACCCCACGCGTGTGAGGCCGAAGTTCTATCGACTGGGCTATGAGTAGTCATAAAAAGCAAAGTTTCCAGAAGCAGCATCCTGCTGCCAAACTGAAATTGTTTACTTTCCCCTGACTACTATTGAAACCAAAAGGAATTACCCTAGTCACAAGGCAAGGTTACTCTTCTCCCAACCAGGCTTTACGCCTGATATTTTCTACACTCTACATTTGTTATTATGGATGAGCTATACAAGAACAAGAGGCAGTGTTACTACCAGGATGGAGGCAATAAGTCCCAGACACCCTGTCCACTCTTCATACTGCCACTACACACCACTGTGACACTTGCTACACTGGCCTGAATGGGGGTGCAGCATAGGAAGCTAATGCAGGCAAAAACAACATATACGGTTTGGTGAGGATATACACATGCTTACCATGACTAACCATAGTAAACATTCACAAAATGGATTTCACTAGGATGTACAAAATTTCCAGAATGATGGGAGTCAATTTAATGAATTTTACGTGTGTGCACCTTTTGAGGTACAGTACTGCATTTCACTTTGACTGGGGTCATTCTGACAGGGTCCCACTATACAACTAATCATTATAGAAATATTACCAAATATGAAATAATACTTTTGAAATTTAGGCAATTTTCTATGTAGGCATACAATACGAACAAAGGCTGAGAATTGGGCCTGTTCCATATGGTGGTAGCTTCTTATGAGTCTGCGCCCAACCATTTGGGCTGGACGGTAGAGTGACTGTCTCGCTTCATGCAGGTTGGCTTTAAATTCCCAACCATCCAAGAAGTTTGGCACCATTCCTTCTCCCCGTCCCATCCCAAAGCCTTATTCTGATCTCTTCCAAGTGCTATATAGTGTTAAGCAATTGCCATTAGAGTGCTAAGCCATTATAAGTGCTAAGCACTAAGTGCAATTATAGCACTTAGCTATATATAGCTAAGTGCTATAATGGCTTGGCATTTTCTCCTGATAGTTCACCCCCCTACGAGTCTGCACTGTACTACAGTATATAAACATTTCTACTATTTTTCTGTGAATTGTTACTGTCATAAATTTTGATGCCATTTTTATTACAGTATAATATTTAATTGAACATTCATCACATTGCACTCAACATGTGTAATTAAATTTTAGCTACCTATACAAGGTTCCCATGAGCTTTGATCTGTTTTACTGAATGAGTAGTAAAGTTAAAATATACACATAGAACTACAAGATCACTAGACAGTACCTCAAGACAGATGCGTTCATATTCTGATTTAGCTTGGTTTTTTAGCCTCTTGAGATGATTGGTAACCTGAAAGCTGAGGGAGTTGTCGAGATTGTCGGGAACAAGGTTGGGTGCACCCATTCGGCCAAGAGCACGCTTCAGGGGCTGTTGGAAAATTTTTTAATTATGAATGTTCTAAATTCATTAAAGATATAATGCATGACATTATGCACCTAACCTTGACCTATGGGAATTAACAATAAAACAAATCCAAAATTGATTTTGTTAAAATTACAAAATATACATGGGAAAATGTGGAATGGCAGAAGATAGGTGTGAGAAGAGGAAAAGACTCAAATGGTTCAATTTCTGAATGAATGATAGTCACTTTGTAAGAGAAATATATAGTACACAAGTGAAGGTTAGTGTGATGAATAAAACATGCAAGAAAGAACATGAACGAGTGACAGAAACTTCTCTAGCACTGCAAGCTGGAAATTTGCTTTTAAGTCATGACAAACTAGTTAGGCCGTTGAAAACCAATTTGATCCTAATTACTACTAAAAAGCACAGCAGTAATTGGTAACTGATTATTTATCTGGCACAATAATGTTATTAGAGCAGTATAAAAAAATATTCATCTCACCTCTGTTAGGTTCATAATCTCTGCAAGGTTTCCCAAAAAGGAAGACAAACATGAGAGGATAGACATTTGGGGCTCAGTAGGATCACACTTAGTCTACTATCCAATAGCCAGAAGGGTTTCACAATCCACACAACTGCCCTCCTAGTTGCTCGAGTACATAAGCCACCACCATGTAAGACATTACAGTACAGAATTCTAAAGGGGCGCACATGGGTATATAGTTAAGGCACAGTGGCTAGTCGTAGACTTGTAATGATATTGGACAGTAGAATGGAATGTTATAAGAACAAAAGTTGAAAGCTAATGGGAGAAAAAAGGGAAATATGCCTATTAATGAATAAGCTGTGGAATAAGTAATTAAATAAGGGAGAATGTAGAAAATTTAAGAATTACATAGGCACTAGTCTATTAAATGTATTGGTCAAAATGTATGGCAGAAAAGTGATCAAAAGTGGCCAGGGTGTTAGAGAATTGATCATTAAAGAATAAGTTGGGTTCCATGGTGGTAAAGAGTAAGCTAAACAGATATTCAAATTGAGATGGCTAATATAGAAGGCATGTTATTAAGATTGAAAGATACACAAGGCATTTATGTACTTTGAAAAATTATGACCAATTTAGCAGAGGGATTTAGAGAGTGACGAGCATGCATGGAGTTGGCAGTCCTGTTAAATTCTGAGAAGTTTCAATGTATGTAACAGTTCATGAGTCGAGAGCATTACATATGGAAAGCCAAGTAGGCTTAGGAAGGGCTTTGAGTATTAATGAATGAAGCTTAAGGTCATACCAAGTTGCATTCATTCTCCAGTGCCTCTCTAGCACCATCATGACTCGGCAGGTTCATTTGAAAGACTTCCTGCTGTGCCGGTACAAACTGTTCATAATTCACTTCAATACACCAATAGGACCTTACCTTAGGGAGCAACCAAACATGACAGCATAAAAAATATAAATAAAGCAGGAGGCTAATTAATTTATTAATGTAAGTAAACAATGAAACAATAGTATACTATAGCTTACATTAGCATAATATGGAGGCATCGAACGAAGGTAATTATCGAACTGTAACCTCCATTCTTTGGTCGACTTTAAACGATGAGTCTTGAAGAGTTCGTCCAAAAGTGGTAAAAGCACTGGGTAGTTGTAAGGCATGACAAATAAGTTGACAGTCTGTAGTGTTGTACTAGCCTTCAGGTATCCAAATGGATGACCAACATCACAATTTTTGCTGCTGTTGGGAATATACACCTGTGGAATAGAAATTTTATTTATTGATTTTTTCTTGTCTAAGCTTGAAGAAATATACTGTACTAAGAAAAAGTAACATTTGTATATATTCATTTACTTACACAGTATTAGCAAACTAAAATCTTTCATTTGATTTAGCTTTTATAACGATGAAGAATTAAACAGAGCAAATGTTCAGTACTAACCTGCCAGCAAACCGTTGGCTGCTTTCTTGAAAGGATGAATTGTGTCAAAGGAGAAGGTTCCAGTTCATACTTGTCAAAGGGTAAATTATCAATAACCATGGGTTCTTGGCTTGTACAAGTAAACTTCACATTTGGGTGAGCACTTCTTGAAGGCTGAAATAATGTAAAAATAGTTCAATAGCAAAAATTAGTGTGTCCGAGCTGAATGGTGTACAACAGTTACAGTGGCATTATGTGAATTGGGCACCAGCTCTTAATACAAACATTCTGACTAGTCAGGGCATGCATGACTGTAAATGTTTCAGGTATCTCAAGGTCCCTCTCAGAAATGCCTAGAATGTTTATACTCCTTTTAAGTTTTATCCGTTCTTGGGTTATACCTATAAATTTGGTGTTAAAATGTTCATAAATAAATTTACTAGAGTATATTGTAGATGCAAAACAAAATGGGTTTTGATAGATTATGCATGACGGTGCTGAATATACGAATGCTTTGTATCGATCATTGTTGGTGGAGCCACTGTTGCTTACATTTGGTGTCGACTCTTCCTCAGCGCTGTTCCACAAGTTGCCTTAGGTGTTTTTTCACCTCTAGTCAGTTCATGCTCCTCCTGAACTGTCCTGATCTCTTGACCAGGTTTTGGTCCTCCTTTCCTCAATTCATTTTACCGTTTCCTTTTCGGCTCATAATATCGGCCTCAAAACTGTTTTTGTTGGCACAGTCTTTCTTATGGTCACTCTTCAAGACTTCCTGGTTGTATACCTTTCAAGTTTTTCTAGTTTTATTTTGCCTTTTTTTTTTTTTTAGGTGACGATACAGACAAGAGGCATAACTGGCCGACCCCTCACAATGTTCAAGAGAGAACTCTTGAAACACCTCCAAAGAAAACCCGATCAACCAGGCTGTGATTCGTATGTCAGGTTGTGAACAGCCACATCTAACAGCCTGGTTGAGCAGGCCATCAACCAGGATGCCTGGTCTGAGACTGGGCTGTGGGAACATTGATCCCCGAAATCAGTGCAAGGTTATCTTGAGACGATTGATTTGATTTTACCACAACGCAAGTTAAGATTCCACAACAGGGAAGCATACTCGAGAGCAAGTCTCCCCTAAGTTTTACAAAGTCTGGAATGTGCCTTCATCCAAGTTCCTGAAATCAATCATGAGTTTGGCAAATACTGCAGACATTATTCTGCTAATGTATGAGTCTTTTATGCCTTGAGGGAGCCGGTCGGCCGAGCGGACAGCACGCTGGACTTGTGATCCTGTGGTCCCGGGTTCGATCCCGAGCGCCGGCGAGAAACGATGGGCAGAGTTTCTTTCACCTTATGCCCCTGTTACCTAGCAGTAAAATAGGCACCTGGGTGTTAGTCAGCTGTCACGGGCTGCTTCCTGGGGGTGGAGGCCTGGTCGAGGACCAGGCCGCGGGGACACTAAAGCCCCAAAATTATCTCAAGATCTCAAGATAACCTCAAGATAACTTCTTAGCATTAAATTTAGTACACAGAGTAAGCACACTAACGTGATGTGTCAATAATAAAATATTACTCCGAGTATTGAAAGGGGAGCGCCCGTGGTAGCTTGGATGACAGAGCCAGAGTTCATGGAGGGATTGTGTGAAAATCCTGGTCCGGCTTCAGTGGAAGCCTTAGGAAACCCTTGAGAGTTCAGTAGAGCTCCAAGTTGCAATCATTTTGACCATATCGTGGCCTGGTAAACTAGGGCGTGTGCGTGGGAACACCCACCGCATGTGTTCTAACATTCATCACGACTCCTACGGATTTTATTAAATTTAGTGCTATGCCTACTCTCAAGTCTCTTGCCTACAATATTCTGATATAGGAAACCACCTACTTTTTTTCTGCACTGTATTTCCATTCTTTTAACTTGATTCATTATCTTTTCATTATCTGTGTTTCAAATCATAATCTTATTTATTTTCCAGAGCGCCGTCATCCTCCTCCGTTCCAATCGTTCTTGTTAGTTTTGAATCAATAAAAATTAATATGAAAGAGCCTAATTTCGTGTTAGGTTGTTGGCATATTAGAAACAGGATAGATCCTAGTAAAAACACTTGTGGTACTCCACTTATAATCCTTATTTCCATTATGTAGGAAAAAACACAGACAAGTTATCCACAGGCCTTAACCCCTTAACTGCGTTGCCTCCAAATGTGACACCCCCGCAGTGCGCAGGAAATAAATTCTCTGGAAAAAATTCTTTTTTCTTTTTAAAGTGTCAAAAACCCTTCCCTCAGTATGGGTATGTAAAAAAAAAGTCGAAATTGTACTTACTTTGGCTGCTATGGGGTCCGGAAGTTGGGGCGTGACGTCATCATTCCCCGTGCGCCTGTGCCATAAGCTCTCGGGGGCGGTGGGGCGCTCGGGGCGGGGCGCGCGAGTTGCCGCGAATATATTTTCGTTCATTTTTTGCGCACCTTTCCAAATACATTTTCATTGTTTTTATGTGCCAATCCAATGTATAATGAACACGTACACTATAATATCGCAGTACAACATCCGTACTGTCCGTAGACACTGTGTTACGTGCATGAAACTTGTGTACACATATGCAGCACATATTTACTATGTATCATGCTAATTTGTGTATATATACAATCTATTTACACACTATACACTGTCACACATTATATACATTCACCATCAACACATTCAGAACACAGCGTAGCAGCTGCTTCGTATGGGCCAATATCAGCTGCCTCGTATGGGCCAATAGCAGCTGCCCCGTATGGGCCAATAGCAGCTGCCCCGTATGGGCCAATAGCAGCTGCCTTATATGGGCCAATAGCAGCTGCCTCGTATGGGCCAATAGCAGCTGCCTCGTATGGGCCAATAGCAGCTGCCTCGTATGGGCCAATAGCAGCTGCCTCGTATGGGCCAATAGCAGCTGCCTCGTATGGGCCAATAGCAACTACCTCGTATGGGCCAATAGCAGCTGCCTCGTATGGGCCAATAGCAGCTGCCTCGTATGGGCCAATAGCAGCTGCCTCGTATGGGCCAATAGCAGCTGCCTCGTATGGGCCAATAGCAGCTGCCTCGTATGGGCCAATAGCAGCTGCCTCGTATGGGCCAATAGCAGCTGCCTCAATTGGGCCAATAGCAGCTGCCTCGTATGGGCCAATAGCAGCTGCCTCGTATGGGCCAATAGCAGCTGCCTCGTATGGGCCAATAGCAACTACCTCGTATGGGCCAATAGCAGCTGCCTCGTATGGGCCAATAGCAGCTGCCTCGTATGGGCCAATAGCAGCTGCCTCGTATGGGCCAATAGCAGCTGCCTCGTATGGGCCAATAGCAGCTGCCTCGTATGGGCCAATAGCAGCTGCCTCGTATGGGCCAATAGCAGCTGCCTCAATTGGGCCAATAGCAGCTGCCTCGTATGGGCCAATAGCAGCTGCCTCGTATGGGCCAATAGCAGCTGCCTCGTATGGGCCAATAGGAGCATTTGGCCATGAACACATTCAGAACACCTCGAGTGAGAGCAGCCACACCCAGTCAGTCTCCCTCACTCCAACATCTTACTCGCCAACATTGCTCCTCCCACCATATTGTTATAGTTCTTATTACACATGGTCTATATACCTATCTACATGTTTTATTTACCAGAACTATGCAAGTAAGCCGGTATTGTGTCCAAACAGTACAGTGGCCACCATACACTGCATGAAAAATCACACAGCAGACGACGCTACGATTACGTCACCTCCCTCACCAAAATAGCTCCTCTCAACATTCTCCTGTTGCTGTTCTTACACTATATACACACACTATATATACCCATGTACATATGTGTTGCCCATAGTGAACAACTAAGCTAGTATGGTGAGCAAAGCAAGAGTGGCAGCCACACACACACGATGAGGTTACCTCAATTCTCGCCCTCCCTCCCTCCCTCATCAAAATTCCTCCTTCCACAATACTACGCACAACGCTAATTATAACCACAATCCTGGTCACTAATTCCTATAAATGAATAATTGACCACACGTTTATTTTGAAAAGGAACCTAAGAAATCATTTGAAGATTCCTAGATGAACGAAATAATGCTGTGGTGCTGTGGCTAGCGCTGTGAACATCGTGAACAGCATAGAATCACTGAGATTTGAACATTGTACCCAGTCATTATCACACTCAGGCTCTAATATAACACTATCATAGCTAAATAATACAAGTTATATATATATTTTGACATTATTAGGCGATGCTGTGGTCACATGCTGAACAGCAGTGCTGTGCGCTCATGCTGCGAGCGCCAGCCTTGGTTGCTCACACACTACTGAGGCTCCCACACCCGGGAATGTGGACCACGATTTTTTTTAAAGATGGCGTCTGTTTACAAGAGCCCTGAGGAAGCTGATGTGAACCCCATGTAGCCGCGGGAGTTTTGAATGGAACGTGAAAAATACAAATACCCGGAGGCGCGTTGCGCAAACCAGACGTGAGCCTGCAGGCGCGTTGCGCAGTTTAAGGGTTAAAGTTAGTCACTACGACATAGAATATTTAACACAATTTCACTTTTTCACCTTCCTAGATAATGTTCACAAGATGTTCTGTCAATTATGAACATTCAGGTAACCATGCAGATTACTTGGTTACTGGAACGAAGGATAACTGTGTAGTCGGGGTGAGCTATTCCACAAAAAAAGAAATGGTCAAAATGGGTGATGTTTGCACGAGAGTGACAGACCAGTGCCCAGTTTCAGTCCAAATTAAATGTACATCTTTTTCAATATCTTTAATTTCTTGACTACACTACTTTGCATTTAAGCCCAATATAATAATTTTAACTTTGCTAATACTTACAAAAGTATAATTTGTTCTTTAATAACTAAAAAAAAAAATTCAAACCGTTTTCTAATTTCTTTGAAGACAAAGTTAATTACTCATGAACCTTCTACACTTTCCCAAAAGTAGACTGGCACAAAAACGTGTAAAAAATAATGAGAATATTTGCCCGTAGCTTTCCAATATTCTGCAAATACCAACACTATTTCATATACAATCCTTGCAATATCTCATCCATATCTGCTGCATACTATTATACAGTATAGGTTAAACTAAAATACACAAAATATACAATTTCAAGACATGTATTACAAACCACAAACTATGCAACATTAACTCGCAAACACAGCATGAAATTCAATATGCTCCTTGAAATCAGGAAAATGACATCGTCCCAATATTCAAGAAAGGAACATACAAATTCCTTGCAAAGTGTTGAAAAACCTGAAAGTGCTACAATAGTATCACCAAGGTAAGAAAAATTAGGAGTGTATTAGATACAGGAGCAGGCTGGACTTGATAGATGGGTACTGAACTAAGTAAAGGAATAACTAACAGAAAGGAAATGGTAGGTCATTGTCAGAGATGAAATACATTAAGAGTTAAGCTATAAAGGTTAATGGAGTTCAAGGCAATAACAACTAAGGATAAAACAACCAGAGAAGACAATCACACCATGCAAATACCCCGAGGAACAGATAATACTAACCTTTTTCAAATGAAAATAATATGAGGAGGAGGCATCAATGGAAATTACACACACACAGAGGCGTACACACAGATTACATACACACAAAGGCATAAAAAATTCCTGTATACAGTGACAGATGGTAAGCAAGTAGAATACACTGAATGAACAAATTACTGACAACATCTTCACCCACAGATTCAATACTCTACTAACACAATCTTCCTCACCACGAACAATGATAATCAAACATACATATATACATTTTTTAACACACTCATCAAAGCAAAGCTTCTCTTACCAGTGATATTGTGTTTATGTCTGGCCAGAAGGACTCTGGGATTGGCCAGAAGCCCGATGGACTTCCTCGCTGTGCTGGTCTTGGAACATATATCATCTTCCGACAATTATGCCACGCATTACTCTGAGGGTTTGGAGGAGGAAGGGGCATAGAGTTTGGTGTATGTGGACGGCTGCCATTCTGTAGCATATGACCCAACATACCACCTCCCCCAAGCCCCCCACCTCCTAAACCTCCATTACTTTCTACATTATTCTGCTGATTTTCTTTGTCAACTTCTATTACATCAGGAGTTTCTTTACCTGTCAACAAAAAATTACAATTAAATGCGATTTAAACACGTGAGGTTAGATAAATTATAACGGGGAATAATATTTGAAGCATTAATATTTGAAATTACCCCTTAATGATGTCACCATTACAACAAAAGTATTCCATTTAATAAATATAACAATTATCCCTAATAAAATATTTATATACCGGTAGTTACAAATGTCCCGAGAGATCACAACAAGCGAATCAAGTCGGTCAAAAAACAATTATACAGTATATATATATATATATACAGTATATATATCCAGTACCTGTATATGCAAAATCCAACACATTACACGACCTCAAAGTGAATAGGTGTCAAATGTGTAGTAATTAAATTTGGAGAACAGTGGAACTGATCCTGAAACAGTACCTCCCAATATTCTTATTACAAGTATAAAACTAACATCTGAATAAAAATAAAGCTCAAAATTACCGTATTTGCTAGTGTACAAGTTGCCTTTTTTTTTTATTTTTAAATGTATTCAAAATTTTTAAATGTATTCAAAATTTTCCCTGCGTCTAATACGGCCATTTTATGGATGTGAAACCACGCACCATAGGCTAGGGAGCCAGACGAGCATACTGGGTAAGTTCGCTAGGGACAAAAATCGTTGCTTATAAAATATTGAAAACAAGCAAAATTATTAGTCTTATCACAAACTTACGAAAAATTGTTTACGATATACGTTGGCAGTTATGAAGGGAGCTCACATTATCTCACCACTTTACCCAGCATACATAACCCACACCTGATAAATGTCATACATTATTTAATGACTTACCTTTAAAAGAAACATTTATTCATTATCTAAATGAAAAATGCTCCTAGAAATTTGAAATGAATGTTAAACTTTCATCCACCTATCAGTCATTTGCAATGAGTGAATGACAACAAAACGAGAGCACTGATGATGTGCCACCGCTGGGTGCACCGCCCTGGTGGCCTGATGTGGCAACACAAAACATCACATCAAGAGACACAAGTTTCACATCCTGTATAGTAATTCTCTTGGCCAAAATATAAACAACTAAACAGCTGATCTTAGAGGCGTTAAGAGTTGGGTACAAAAACCAATTTAAAATATTTTTCAATCAAAGTGTGATGAAACCTACTAAAATAGTTTTTTTTACACAAAATCTCTTTGTAAAATAGGGGTGCGTTGTATGCGAGGGTGCGTCTTTTACACCGGCAAATACGGTATATAGTGTTTGTCATGATCCCCAATGCACAAGTAGACCAAAACGGAACCAATCCTCTATTCATTCTTTATAAATCCAAAAATATCAATATACCTTAACAGAATTAGCTCTGACAAAAAAAATATAAAAAAACTGCCTACTGCTGTAATTTTGTCTAAGATCATCCAGCATACAAGGTACTTAGGAATTGATGTAGCATGTATTGCAAAATTCCACTCATTGTTATAACATTATACACAAAGACCAGCGATGAATAATATAGGTACTGTAGTTTCAAAACGGTCACCAGAGCTACTTTCCAGGATTTCTACGGGGACCATCATATTAAAAGTTTACAGCCAATGTATATCCATCGTCTGGAAGTAAAGTGGTGGAAAAAAGTTAAAAACCAGATAAACAATATTATACAGGTAACAGTTTCCTGGATCATCTATTCCAACAAAATAAATGCAGGTAGATACAACTTAGAATTTTACAACTACAGAAGACCCTATTAAAACACTGTCATTCCTTTGAAATCACATAAAACCTAAATTATAGTGTCCAGTAAACAAACAAAAGCAAAAATTAAAATTTAATATTTACCATCAAGGTTGACTGGTGGTGGGTCAGGGCCAATTTTTTCAAAATTTATAACTACACCACTCTGAACTTTCTGTACCAGACTGTCTATACACTGTTGAAACATTCTATGTGAACGCACTGCATATGATCGTCCTGTTGAAAGAAACCAGAGTACATTATATATACACACACACACACACATGCTAATTCCTTAAATACAAACATTGTGAATCTACTCAACGTCAGTCATTGGATAAGAAGATAAGTGAAGAAAACAGAGATCTTGGGTAGCATGCTAAATGTTTTAGGTTATGGCTTACATAATTGGGAAAGAATACAGCCAAAATGCAGTGGGATCTTGGTATAATGAAATGTATTTAAAAAGCTCCACTTGACAATATATGTCCCTTCAGGTTAAGTAACCAGAGACCACATGGGACTACAATTATACCACTCGTCATCCTTCATGAGCCCTCATTTGATCTAAATGAGCAAGAAGGACCTGCCTCCATAACTATCTGTTAAGGGTCCCCATATTAGACATTCAGATATTGATCTACCAAACTAACAACCTCAGCTTGATTATGAACATAACTCTCCCCAAAATATACCCAACTGAACCATGAACAAATCTTGCCCAGTTATGACAATATGCACCCCGAAGACCAACCAGCTCCTAAGAGGCCTCCTTTTGTACCCAGAAAGCAATATGAGCAAAGAATACATGATCCCAGCAACAAAAACAATACATGTACCTGCTAACATGCTAGGAGGCAACCAGCCTTTGAACCGTGCTTCACCTATGCAGATGTGTAACCACAATCTCACAATTAGGGAACAGCCAGGCCTACTTAGGAGACAAGAAACAGTGGAATTGCAGAAACTAAATGCAAAACTGAAAAACATGGGTATCTGGAAATGGCGTTCCAGGGCACCGAAGTAAAAATTACTGTACGTATCTGAAATGGGCAGGCACAAACGAAAACCTCACCACCTGGAACACCAAGCCCACAATCCAAGGACCAAGACCTGATCCCTAAATCTTTTCTGAAAAATCCCAGGCACCAATGCACCTTTTCCCTGACCAAGATGCCAAGGGACCAGAGACAGAGCCAACTCCAAACCAGTGTTCTAGTCTGGGCAAGGCCAAGGCTAGAACACTGTTTACACAATGTAGTTTACACAATGACAAAGACAATGGCTACCCACAGCTGGAGTCATCTCCTGCATCTGGCCCAACTCCTCCGCAAGAGCAAATGTGACTTCCAAGCCTCTGGACTACGCCTAAAAAATAAAGGTGCCTCAAATAATAAATTTGGCAGACAGGCACAAGGAGATCTGTGTAAACAAGGACAGAGTCCAGAAGCCCAACCAAACAAGGAACAAGGAGCAAATTCAAGGGACAAGTGTCTCGAAGTTTACCACAGCTGGAAATACATATTGCCGTAACAAATCACTGCCAGAGTCCAAGCCCCAAAAGAGACCTGGTAAAACAAGAGACCAGCAAACACATTCCCCAATCCATAAATGAAGGACAGTGTTACGAACCTGATATAGACTATAGAAATTCTGTCTATAGAAAATCTATAGAAAATGGACTATATGAAATTCTGTCTTATCATTAAGTTAAGAAACTGACATGGCTAGAAGGAGCAAGTCTCTTTCCTACTAGAAATATAATACAAATGTTTAATATCATACTGTATCTATTTTTAGCCCCATCTGGCCCAATTTGGGAAGTGTTAAAATTTAGATACTCCTATGAAAGGACTAATCAGTCACCAGCAGTATTATTATTATCATTATTATTAACCCCTTTTTCTACTTCAGTGAAATGGGGAGGTGCTCGCTAAGTAAGAACAGACCAGCAATGAGGAACACTAGGATGATATTCAGCTATGCCAAACCTTCCACTATTGGAAGTGCTATATCAAGGTAAATTTGAACCACTAAACTGCAGGATAACCACACTTTATCTTTCAGTCCAGTGCAAGATAACCAGCTTTAAAACATTACCTGCTGGTCTAAATCCAAAGATTTTGCAAGATGTTAGAATCACAAGAATTATATATAATCTAGGTCGCATGCCAGATGCCTACTAATTACTTTTTAGAACTGGATAATTATTTCCCCAATACTGGCGAAGTTTAACTTTCATAGCTGATTTAAACTTTGTCCTTGGGTCAAACATTCAGCAAATGCACAAACTACTGGTAAAAATTAAAATCATCACACAAACAGAAATAGCTACCCATAAAATGTAAATACAATTGAAATGTTAAAGTTAGTTGTTTATTACCTCCAGTCTGCTCGCACAATTTATCTAGTGGCGAGTTATCACTAGGAACCAGTCCCATTGGATCAGGAGCAGGGGTGCCAGTTAGTCGCAGAACTAGCCCAAATAACCGCTGGTCCCAACGAAAGATCTCTTTGGTAAGGTCGGCACCAGGAATGGGATTTACTTTAGGCAGAGGGAAGATCTAAAAAGAGAAAACAAGAATCAACATTTTTGGTGTGAGAAAATGCTGCAAAACTAGTGACTGGAATTATGTCAACTTTTCAATTTGTTTGCAATTTACACAAATATACATGATGAAAAAAATATGTAATTAAATGCTATGAATACAAGGAATAGTTCTAATTTAGTTTAATTTCAAGAAGACCTTATAAATTTGACAAAAGATTAAACATTTAATTCAATATTAAAAAAAATTATATTTTTAAATATCTGTTTTTCCCATTTTCCTCCCCATTCTTAGTTGTGGGTTTAGTACAGCGAATTGTGTCAGTAACTCAGCTGCTTACTGGAGTTTATCTTTGAACTGTGTTCAGCCGTTTAAAAGTACAGTTTGTGTCCAACAAAAAAAAAAAGTCACCAAATCACATGGAGGAAAAAACATTATATATGGCAATATGGGCACAGAAGGAAACTGTAAACAGTGACTGGAGAAGTGTAAGGGTTCAAAGGATTAATGAACAGCACTTCTGAAATTTGTGCAATACATTTTATTTTTGTCATGTTAGATCCCCCCAGGCAGATCAAGGTTCATAATCCTGAATGATGACCGTTTCACACGCCAACCCATTTTTGGGTCGTAGTCACTACCACCGAGTGGAATTACAAGTTTTAATGACTAGCCAATAGATACATATTATAGCTAAACTATGGAAATTAACTGCATTATAAAATAATACAGTACTAGGTTTCAAACTAATGACTCAAATCATGACCTATGCTCTATTTGTTGTTCTGGAAACTGGAAAATATTGGAGGGGTGACAGGTAAGCTTCTAACATGGATGAAAGATTTTCTGACTGATAGAAAAATGAGGGCAGTAATCAGAGGCAATGTATCGGACTGGAGAAATGTCACAAGTGGAGTACCACAGGGTTCAGTTCTTGCACCAGTGACGTTCATTGCCTACATAAATGATCTACCAGTTAGTATACAGAATTATATAAATATGTTTGCTGATGATGCTAAGATAATAGGAAGAATAAGAAACTTAGATGATTGTCATGCCCTTCAAATAGACCTGGACAAAAGAAGCATATGGAGCACCACTTGGCAAATGGAATTTAATATGAATAAATGCCATGTTATGGAATGTGGAACAGGAGAACATAGACCCCACACAACCTGTAAATTATGTGAGAAATCTTTAAAGAATTCTGATAAAGAAAGAGATCTAGGGGTGGTTATAGATAGAAAACTATCACCTGAGGACCACATAAAGAACGTTGTGCGAGAAGCCTGTGCCACACTTTCTAACTTCAGAATTGCTTTTAAATACATGGATGGCAAAATACTAAAGAAATTGTTTACGCCTTTTGTTAGGCCAAAGCTAAAATATGCAGCAGTTGTGTGGTGCCCATATCTTAAGAAGCACAACAAACTGGAAGAGGTGCAAAGACATGCTACTAAGTAGCTCCCAGAACTGAAGGGCAAGAGCTACAAGAAGAGGTTAGAGACATTAAATATGCCAAAACTAGAAGACAGAAGAAAAAGAGGTGATATGATCACTTTGTACAAAATAGTGGCAGGAATTGATAAAATCGATAGGGAAGATTTCCCGAGACCTGGAACTTCAAAAACAAGAGGTCATAGATTGAAACTTAACTAAAAGCTGCTGAAGAAATGTAAGAAAATTCACTTTCGCAAACAGAGTGGTAGACGGTTGAAACAAGTTAAGTGAGGTGGTGGAGGCCAAAACCGTCAGTAGCGTCAAAGCGTTATATGACAAAGAGTGCTGGGTAGACAGGACACCACGAGCGTAGCTCTCATCCTGTAACTACACTTAGGTAATTACACACACACACACACCACTACACCATGACATGGTAAAAGCAATGCAACCTGGGATTCAACCGAATTCCAGGTTGCATTGTGCTTGGGAGCGTGCTTGGAAGTACTCAGAGCATAGGTTTGAATCCTCGACATGGCTCGTGCCGATTTTCTCACTGACACATCACGTTAATGTGGTTTCTTTGTGCATTTTAAGAGAAACATTGGAGTTGAACTCCTGGACCACAGCTAGAATGCATGGGGGGCAATGTGTGAAACCCCTGGCTTGGCTTCAGTGGAAGCCTCAGGACCCGTACAGGATTCAGTTGAATCACAGGTTACAGTGCTTTTATTATGTTGTGGTGTAGTGGTCTAAGACATGTGCTTGGGAGTACCCAGAGCATAGATTTGAGTTTTCCTCAAGGCGTCTACCAATTTTCTCAATAAAAATACAAAAAAAAATTATAATTTTATATTTTTGTTCTTTTGTTTTGTGGATTTGTTCTTTGATATATCATGTTACAGTGATGTGTAATAATAATAATAATAATTGGACAGTTGAGAGGAAAGGACTGCACATACACTCACAGAAACTATACTTCATGCATTTATGGCTGTTACAATTGTGACACTACTCACGTCATCCTGAACACCTTGCTGAGATGAAAGTTTCCCACCATCTGTTATGATGATTATCACAGAAGGCTCCAGGAAAAATGGACTTCTTCCCGTACCATAGGTATCAATACCTATTAACAATAACACAGTATGAATACGGTATCAGAGGCATTTACATAAATGAAAATTTTGCATAGCTTTTTACCTATTCAATTTTGAAATCATACTAGTAAATAAAAGCTGATGGCTGACAAAAAGCATCTTCAAAAAAGTCTTACTTTCATTTAATTTCTCTACATCAGTACTTTGCACTTTATTCAACTTTATTGCACTAATTTGACTAATGCAAACAAGGTCCTTTACCTAAAAGAAAATAACAAACAAGACAATACAGACATGCATTTGATCATTAATTTGGCAACTTAGTGTTTCGATTGTGAATATTATTTGATGAACATGCATGCATTGTGTGCGCTTACCCAACTGTGTTTACATAAATGTAATTACCCAAGTTAATTGCCTAGGTGCAAGTTACAGGGAGGAGAGCTTATACACAAGCTTATACACCGAGTTGAGCTTTATGTACACCTAATAAAAAAAAAATTATTACAGTACATGTACAGAAAACTCAATTCTTCAGGTCATTATATTTTCGTTTTTATTCAATTCCTCCCCTCCTCAAAAATCTCTGCTATTATCTTGGTGGTTAGTGCAAGCTTACCTTAACAAATCACACTGGAATGGAATCCTTGGTGGGCCAAATAAATTACTAAGCCAAACAAATCTGGCTGAAACAGAATACGGGTCTGCTCCATTTGGCTCTCTTTAGACCAGCACAACTTGCCTAGGCATACTGTACAGTACCAATATTTCCTATTTTGTGCAATTTTGTTTTTTAAATATTTATTTGTCTTTAGTTTAATACCAAATACCAATTCTAAGTATCATGAAAAAATAAAGTTTAATGCTACTAGAGAAAACTGGTAGCAAAATTTAAGAAAGAAAGAAAGCAAAAGAAATTTTAGCACGGGTCAAACTGGTCAATTACACCAGTTTTTTTAGGGGTTTGTTTAACAGCAGGAGTACTTGTTTGTGGTTGGAAGATGGAGTCATCAGCAAACACTTGCGTGTAATCTGGGAATGAACAACTCAACAGTACAGTGTTACTTTTAGAAAATGCCACATAGATTCTTAGTACTGTACTTGCTCTTATATACACCCAGATGTTGTATGGCAAAGAACATTAAGTATTGCCAATGACTCGGAGCCATATTGCATACCAAGTCAATCTTTTGGAGAGAAGCCATGAATAATCACAAGATTATGTTAGCCCAATATAATTGTGATTACCCACATGCACTCAAGAGTATTTTCCCATCTTCTTCTTGAGGTTATCTTGAGATGATTTCGGGGCTTTAGTGTCCCCGCGGCCCAGTCCTCGACCAGGCTTCCACCCCCAGGAAGCAGCCCGTGACAGCTGACTAACTCCCAGGTACCTATTTACTGCTAGGTAACAGGGGCATTCAGGGTGAAAGAAACTTTTGCCCATTTGTTTCTGCCTCGTGCGGGAATCGAACCCGCGCCACAGAATTACGAGTCCTGCGCACTATCCACCAGGCTACGAGGCCCCATTTCACGAGGCCATCATGCATCATAACACTTCCTCATCCTATGTATATGATATGCATATAAAGCGCCAGTACTGTATACTCTCTCTCCCGTCATGACGTCGCATGCGAGTAGTATTTAAGGTTACATGAATAGATGAACACATTGGCAAGAAAATATTAATAATAATTATGTAAAATAAAAAAAAATACCTGATTGCATGCGATTGATATTAAGAACATCAAAAACATTCTTGATAGCCGGACCAAGAGTGGATAATCCTGTAGCCTTTATGTTCTTCAATTCATTCATAAAGGTTGCCAAATTTTCTTTCCAGCCAGCCTGTGAAATAAGCAGCAAAAAACAAAAATTATTTTAAAATTATATACCTTGTAAACAATTCCAATATGAAATAATTAACAAGACATGTGCCCTAATAAGCCTTAGTGGTGCATACACTTGTTACAGTAACATTGTAAATCCAATTTTTGTAAATGATCCAAATAGAGTATTTTATCAGAAGGTACAGGTAAATTTATCATGAAATATGGAATAAAGAAATTCATCTTTCATGAAAGTTTGTGAATCCAAGTCAACAAATTTTATTCACAATACCGTGCGTCTAAAATGCAAGACAGGTCTCGCTAACGATTTAAAATATTCATGTTTTGCATAGATGCCGTTTCAGTTTACTGAACATCAATTACCAAGATGAATGACCGAGACTATTTTTTGGGGGGAGCTTATGCACTTGCTTCATCTCCATTCAGTTGATTGAGCCATATGACCAGATTTCTTGACTATGGAACACTATGTTCCCCACTGAACAGAAAGATAGCTAATGAACATTTATTTCACCTGTACTTTTATGCCTAATGACCTCATTCACCAGTTTATATATTCCTCAAAGCCGTACAGTAGCTACTAAACTACACACTGGAATAGTGAGAACCCAATTAATCAGAACACTGTCCACTGGCAACGCAAGAATGAAATAAATGCTGTTTAAGTTGTATAACAAAATGTGTATTAAAAACAAATCCATTACCAAGATGTCTTTGTCCATGCTGGTCAGCGGAACATAATTATTGTAAAGTATAGAATGATCTAACCTAAAGTCCAGATAGTGTTTTTAGTAAAATCCATTATGAACAGGTGAAGTTCTATTAAATACAGTAAAACACAGGTAGACAAAATAAGCAGTTACAGTATTTCTTCCCCCTTTTGAAAGTAAAAATTAGATTTTTACTATAGTTCATATAAAGTAGTTTTCTTGACACAACACTTTGTTACTACTGTACTTAGAATCAAGACAGACATGGCATTCTGCACTGCCACAGGTAAGAACTTTTAAAATTGTTCCCACTGGGTCACACTGATGGTAGGGAAGATATTGGAATATTACTCTATCCAGTCCAGAAAGCAGTCAAAAGCTGAATGGTCCACAGATCACTATTCTTGGCTGCCACTAGAAAGACCCCCCAAACCAACTTCCTCATAATCTACTTTATCTCGAGGCTACAAAAAAACACCACAAAGTACAGTGGAGAGGAAAATGGGAGCAACCGAGTGTACTGTTAAAAAAAGTGCTTGTCACAAAGGCAACAACCTAGTCATATCTATTCATATATTCCGACTACTCATTTTTCACCCAACCCACCTCCCATACCTCTCTTTGGCGAGATGCCTAGCATGCTCAACTGGTCGCACCTGTTCACGAACCCAGCTTCATTTTGGTAGCATGTAGATATCGAAGACTTGTTCCCTCTTGATGTTTGAAAACAGTGACCATCCTGCCACCATATCACAATATATCAATAGCAAACCCAAGAGGAAACTGATGAATTTTCAGCAGAAAGTAGAACTTAAGGTAAATAAGTTTGCCCGTTATGCTCAAATTGAAAATGATAAAGCACAGCAGCAGAGAATAGAAGCCAGTCAGGTTAAAGTAAAGTGTAGTTACCCAAGTAACTACAGGATGAGAGCTACACACAGTGTCCCGTCTTCCCAGCAATGTCATATAACACTTTTAAACCACTGGTGGTTTTGGCCTCCTCCAACTTAACTTGTTCCAACGGTCTACTACTGTACTCTGTTTGCAAAAGTAAACTTTCTAATGTTTTTTGACAGCTTTGTTTAGTTACCTTAAATCTATGACCTTTTGTTCTTGAAGTTCCAGGTTTCAAGAATACTTTATCAATTTTGTTGATTCCCATTACTATTTTGTATGTTGTGATCTTATCGCCTCTTTTTCCTTCTAACTTCTAGCTTAAAAATGATGTGCGACAGTGGTTGAGGCGAGATGAATCTATGAAACCAGTGCTACGATGGCTGCTCATAAAGCAGGCAAAGGCTTTCCTCAAGAAAATTAACATTAGGTGTTAAGAGCGAATATACTGACAAGTGGGAAGAGCACTTTAAACATCGTAATTGTATGAATAAGGTGTGAAAACACACGAGTACAAGGAATCAGATGCAGGAGATCTTGAGATCACGTAGGAGGATTTATCTCCTGAGCAAATATATAATGGTGACTAGATAAGTGTGTACAGGGCTGGCATTATTTGCACATGTACACTCAGAATTTAAAGTGTACTTCTCGGAAAATTTAAAGTCCTTCCAAGTATAAGCAGAATACAGGTAATTGGAATCTTACAGTACTGTGCCCAATGTAGATAACATGCATATCTATAAACGCAAGCTACCAGTTACAGAAGAAAAAAATATCCAATTGTGGTTAAAGGAACTAAGTTCCTCCATCACTTGTAAGGTTCAAAGCAATGTGCGTGTCCAGAGAAGTATTTCAAGGCTGGTATAAAGTTCATTTTGTCCCAGAGATGAAGGATCATTTTAGAAGTGTTAACCAGCCAGCCAATAGGGATGCTATTTCTTGATAACAGCCATCACATCCATATCAGGATGACATCAACAACCATCACCAACACAACCATCACTAGCAACAACAAAACCCCCACCATGAACATGACTCCGAGCCAGGGGTTACCAAGGTCAACACAGAAGCTCACTACCCCATATTTTTCAGTCCTGAACATACTGCAGTTCAAAACTAAAGGAAATATAAGTATTTTATAAACATCATTTGACGTAACTAAGCAATGGGTCCCTTCACCTGTTGCAATTGGCAAAGATATGTCAAACCAAAACAACTGGTGAACTAGGAGCCAAGGTAAGATATTTTTTGACTAAAACATTCAAACCCCCCCCCCCAACCCCCTAAATATCTGCCATAACACCAACTGAAAAGTTCAACCTCAGTGCAAATTATCTAATGATCCACAGGTTTATTGCATTTTTAGCAGCATTCTGAACTTCAAGTACCAGTATTCTTGGCTAAAAAGTAGAGGGAACATTAATATTAATGTTCAAAAAGTGTTTTACAAAGTGAAAATAAAGAACAGAGTTCTAGAGAGCATAAACAACAATTCTCAAACTGTACCACCAAATTTGTCGAGTGTGGTTTTTGTTTACACGTGTTTTGCAGGAATCGCTAAAACAACCCTAATCTTGCCCCCGTAGCATTTTCTATGTTGGAAAATAAATTAAAGCACACTAAATGGTCAACTTTTAATTTTCTATCAAGATCACCAAATAAACATTGTTTTTACAGAACTTTGTACTTTTATAATTAAATAGAGAATATACATGAGAAACTTGATTGCATTATTTGAAAGATTTTAATAATTAAAAACACAGTACCTGTATAGTTCAACTTCCTGGAATATTTAATGATGCCCCCAAAATGGCCATGTGATGATAGTCTTAAGCCTTGTGCACCATAATGTAAATTAAACATCTAAAAAAAAAAATATGTCCAACCTATTTATAAACATATTTATAGTATTATTCTATTACTTCTACCTACCTACCTACCTATTGATGATTTTGAGGATCAACCAAGCCTCCTGGTTGCTAGCCTCATCATCCAGGCTGTTTATACTTGCAGCTCGCAGTCTGACGATGGCACCTCAGCCCGACTGATCAGGGATTATTTAAAGAAACTGGTCAAATGTTTGCTCAAAAGAAAGGTCATTTAATAATTCCCCTTATATTTGAATGGAAGGTATTGTAAAGGTCTTAGCCTTTTATACTTATAATTATAATATGCTGTACTTATTGCTCACAAGCATTTCATCGCAGGTATTTTGCATATACAGTACTGTATACAGTAGTACTACCTACACATGTTTTTACACTCAAGATTCTTAAGATTTTTGATCATTTGAAATATACTGTACAGTGGACTTTTAATCAGAATCTCCCACAGAAAATTGGACTTTGTTAGTTTCCCCCGATTGTACAAAGGGTTAAGATAACCAAGATTTACTGGATGATCGCAACATCACAGAATCTACAACATTTGCACTGGAAATAAATACCACCATTTAAGCAATACAATAAAAATAATAAACACTTAATTGCCAGAATTGCACTACAGCATTTGCATGTCAAAGGATGTGATATTTTTGTGGAAATCTACCTACTGAGTAGTCCTATGAGATGCATCCTGACCAAGTTAGCCTTGATTATTTTTTCTTTGTGCACTCTGACAATGTAAAGATCTATGACTAAAGGAATTTCATTGCTAAAATTACAAAATTAAAGTAAATTTGGTATTAATTTTTAGGAAACGATATGTTTAAGAGCAGCAATTATCAGCCTGCAGGTAGTGTGAGCATGGTTATCAAGTATCGCAAAACAATATAGCAATCAAACCTGAATAATTTCCAATGTATGAAAATAATAATTTTATTGGTACTAGTACTTGATAATTGTACAGCACAGGCCACTCCTGATTCTACTTTGGCACTTAGTCCCTAACACCTGTATACACAACTTGGGTTTTTCTTTGGGTTTTTATGGTAAAACTTTTATACTGTATCTCTCTCAAATCAAGCGCATCGACTTTCCCATCCACAAAACTCTTGTGGATGAGAATTTTATGAAATTTGAAGGGAATTCAATTAAATTAATATTTAAGGAGATAAAGCACACAAAACAAAACAAAACTGTTGAATGTATTGACATACCTCACTCTGGTGGGTCCTTAGTGGCTCCTAGTTACTAACTACCTGTATAGCTCCACCCAATTCAATCCACACCAAGCACTTTTGAGTCATTTTAAGCCAAAACATGCCCTCCTCTATAGAGGCACAGGGAGCAGAGGATACTAGATCACTAATCTAGAAATAGCCACCAGAAAGGCGAGTGAGACAATACAGACAATTAGAAAGGTAAACAGAACATAGAAATGTGAACCGAGACATCAGACCAAACAAACCTCCAGGCCATGAAGTAGTTTCCTCGTTAGTTCTGCTTGCACAGCAGCAGGAGACCGTGTTCCCCAGCTCCTTGATTCCCTTCCCTAGCCTTGACCATCAGTCACAGCCACAGAGACAGGAAAACCAAAGCCATTAAATGGGGGGAAGGGAGGGTCCAAGGATCCACCAATAACCCATCAGAAAGATGCTTTTCATTACATTCAACATTGGCTTTCCGGGAGAAATCCTAAGGTGGCACCTTGTTGCAATGTCACCAAAGAAAAAGTGTGGAGGGGGGGGGGATTGGACTCGTCAACGGCAGCGTCGAGTATCAGCAACCCCCATGGAAGGGGAAATTAACGACGACTTAACTGGCCTAAAGCCACAGAAGCCCAGCACAGACCATATACAGTACATTCATTAAGTATCGAACCCCTAGCATTCTCCTGGACCACCAAAGCACAAGTATTTGCTGAAGATATTAGAAAACAACACGGACAGAGAGGAGAAATTTACTTACATCATGGGCCAAGCAAACTGTAGGCAGGCTAAACTTGACACTGCAGATGACTTTGGACAAATTGGCCCTGGACCAGAGACACCAGATCCAGTTTCCATCTTCCCTGCATACTACAATGAAGGCCACAATTGGACAACAAATGATGCACCCACCAGCCAAGCATCAGTCACCAAATGACCCCTTCAGAAATCAGCCATCTCATTCTTAGGCAGAAAGGAAGGAGCCCTGTAAATGAAGAAAGTGACCCCCCCCCCAGGACAAAAAGAACAAGACCCCCACTCTGGCTGAAAAGGCAACTGAAAACCGAAGTGGGAAAGAAAACCAAATCAACCAAAGGCCAAGAAGGCTCAGCACCAAATGTATAATCTTGTCAAAAACCAGCAAACTCAAAATGCAGGGCATCTGAGCCTGACCAAGACTGCATGAAATAATAACAGAGCACCCTATCCCATAAAATGAACCCATCTAATAAGGCCACCACACACAAAGGTGTCTCAGTTAAGACCGAGGTCCAACTATGTCATGCCTCACAAGAATGGAAATGAAAACAATACGCCAACAGGCAGAATGGTGGGGACAAAGTCAGTGTCGAGAACAAAAGCCGGTGAACACTTAGGAAGCAACACACACTGCAGTATAAGACTCAAATGAGGGTTCCACATCACTCAACATGAGACAAGTGGGGGAAACCAGCACCAAATAAGCTGGAAAAAACAGGCACTGGGAAACATCACAAAACCCATGCTAACCTGCACATCTGCAAAAAATGCCCCAAAGTTAAGCACAATCCACTGCTTAACTAGGAGGTGGAAACAAGCCCACTATGAGTCTCCAAAAGTAAAAAATACCTGTTCACCTCAACCGAAGTTCATGCACTACTCAGGGTTAAGGTCCCTCAAGAGAAAGGAAACCAAGTGGCAGAGTCTTGAACCTTCTCAAGGACAATAACCAGACTGAAGGCAGCAGTAACACCAGCAGTAATTAGAAGGCAACCATAATCATATGCAACTGCAGTAAAATCTGAATCATGGTACAGTATATGCAAAAAGGCTAGCCCCTTGCTGAAGATTGAGCCCAAACAGCATTCATGCACCTGGAGCACCAGGTGCTTGAAAGAGCTGGCCATTCAGTACTTTTGAGTGGCCAGGGTTGCCATCTGTGGCAAAGTGTGTTGCTATCTAACAGTTTCCTGCCACTATAGTGTGTGTGGGGGGTTCATGTCAGGATTGCCAATGATGTTCGTGCAGTTGCTTGTTTTGTCATGCTCCACCTTCTATTGGGGTTTCCTTCAGATTACTGATGGTTGTCTAATATCCTAAGACTCCCCTTACGTCTACTCAAGTGGGCCAGATTTTGGTACTCTTGAATCTTGGAGCCTGGTGTAGTGACCTAGGTTTGAAGTCCCCCACTAAGGTGGCTTAAGTAGCCATGGAGAGGGCCATTCCAGAAATGGATAATATGCAATCATCCTAATGAAACAACATGCTCAAACCAGTAACATGTGTAAAGAAACCCTTGTGCCAAGGTCTCAGTTATGACAAATTTTCAAAGCATTGCCAAGGTAGAGGGCTCATTCAGGAATAGTCGAACCAGCTGAAGATATCCCGGGTCGATATCTCAGAGAAGATATCCCTGGTTGAATCTTGCAAACAAAGCCAGATAAGAAAACCTTGGAATCGAGCAGATACCGATTGCAAAGTTTTAACATGCAACATGTCTGTGCACCATGACAAAGTGAACACTGAAGCATAGAACCCCCTGCATAAGGAACAAGTCTCAACAACATCTAAACCAACTTAACTGGTTTCTGCAGAACCACATACAAAATGCAATGGACGACAGGCACAAAACTAGGTGACCACCTTCCCCGGCCCAATAGTACTAGCTGGAGTTGCCACCAGGTTGCAGTTTGTGAGGTTGTTGCTGAATATGCAATTTCTGAAAAAATTGTTGCTTATCTTAATGATCGTGATTATTTGAAGAGATGTAGCAGTGATTCATTAGGATCTTAGTGTTATCATAAAGTTACTCGTTGGTGGATCGAAGTACGCTCTCTACTATGGTTCCTCGCTCCTGGACAAAATTTGCAAGGTTACTTGTCTGCGGGTCTCGAAAACACTCCTGGCCTGGTGTACTAGCAATGGTCTTGGTAGACTCGGTGCAAAGGTTCAGAAGACCTCCCGATTGGGTCTTTTTTAGAAATAATATATAACCACTACTGCTGGATGTATGAGGAGCCACCAAGGTTAAAACACACACATTTTTACATTGTGCAGCTATTTATGGTCATAAATGCATTCCTTATATACTTATATGTGCATAAAGGGATTGAACTTTAGCAGTAAAGAATGAAGGAGACAAGAGATTGACTATTTTATAATTAAAAATAATTTTTAATGAAATTATTTAAGGAATTCTTTGATTGGGGGATGCACCAGTGCATCGTTGGGATATGAAGCTAAATGCAGTGGATGATGATCTAGTGCAGAGGTGGGCAACCTTTGCAAGTGCGAGTGCCAGAACTGTCAAATCTTTGATGCAAAACTTTCTCATCAGAATGGGAGTGTCAAGATCTCATTATATTTACAGCTTGAACGACCATTGATTATGACCACATAGGATCACAAGTTGCCTGTATCATAAATAATTTATCAAGCAGAAAATCTTGTCCTTCAAATCAAAATTTTAGCGAACCGAAGGTAACAGCAGAACAATAGGTCTTTATAGGCAAAACCAGTATAAACTTCATACAATCTTATTTACATATGCAAAATAGTACTACATTAAGAATGTATAGTACTCTCCCCTCCCCCCATGTAATCTGGAAATAAAAAATCTGAATGCATAAATTCATTCTCTTAAGGTTTGCATTACATAATCAGCTTTTTAAATACAGTATTGGCAAACTACAAAACTCATTTTTCTGAATTATCAAAAGGGGATCCCGGTTCCAATTTTGCTAGTCTGAGACTGCCCAAATTTAGCTCTTCTTAGCCTAGCTGTCAATTTCTTTGCTTGGTACTGAAGATCTTCCATTATATTTCCACAAGTACAGTATAATAAACCATAGGCAATATTTATCAGAACAAACCAGTAAATTGCTCAAAGTGAAGATACCTTACATGGATGAAAAGTAAGGACCTACCAATAAAATCTAAAATATTTGTTAACTTCTTTCATTACACTGCCTGTTTTATTAGCCCCTCTTACTCTCAAGCCTTTGTGATCAATGGTCAATAGTTTTCAGGAGGCTTACTTCAAACACATTAAGTATTTATTTTTTACATTTATCAACACAATTATTTGCAACAACGTCCAGTTTAGACTAATCAGTTTAGACTAATCAATCTAGTTACTGAAAAAGTTTGATACTCAAATATGGCGTCACTAACTTAATACAAAAGTTACCATATTTGACTCAAATTAATTACACGGCCATACGCAGACCCAGGTAATCAACAGTATCACCTGTAATGTTATTTAGACATCGGTGAACATTTACTTTTCTCTCTCTCACCATTCTTAGTGCACTTTTACCCCGTAAATAAACATCTGAAATTAATTTTTGTTTGTTTTGTCTCAATTTTTTTACAACCACCATGAAAAAGAATAAATAGAAATAGCCCTCAAGAAAACTTAATCTTCAATAACTTATTAACTATTTTAGTTCTCACCTTTATATGCAATGGGGGTTCCTCAAAGGTAAAAAGCATATAACGATCCCCACGGCTTTCTGGACTTCGTTGACGTAACTGAAAACGTTAAAAGTTTATCACATCATTCGAATTGTTAGACATCTTGTACAGTATAAAAAATAAAGTTGCTTTTATATACCAAATAATGGATTGTGGTATGCTATTTGACACTACTGCTGCTTAAATTCTGGTGCTGTGGCACATTTCTATATATATATATGAGCTTTAATTCAATGGGTGATGGCTACCTGGACTCTGATTCACAAAGCAGTTACGCAAGTACTTACGAATGTGTACATCTTTCCTTAATCTTTGACGGCTTTGGTTACATTTATTAAACAGTTTACAAGCA